TTGGAAGAGACTGAGGGAGCGTTCAAGGAAGGGCCCCGTTTCCGCAGTCTCCTCTTCGCAGGCATAGTTAATGCCTGAGAAGAGAGAGCTTGAGGAAAAGGTGTGGGAACTTAAAGATGAAGTGAGGAGAAAGTGATGTGAAAGAAGGAGAGATGATAATGAATAGGGAGATCGTGGAAAGCTTGGTCAATAAAAACAGACCGAGACTTTCAATATGATGATGATTGTTGAATATGTAAATGAGGTGAAGGATGACGCCTTAATAAAGACGACTTGAAGGCTGCCGGAACAATGGGCCCCGGCAGCTGGGGTAGGGAGTGAGCCTAGGCCGAAAAGAAGCACGGCTAAGGAAGCTTGAGCCTGGGAATGGACTCTAGCTGAAGGATCCCGTTATTACAACGTTGGTCCAACGTAGCCTTGTTTGCGGAGTATCTTGCCACTATTGCCAATACCGGCTAAAAATTGGCTAAATATTGACTTTCCAATATTGCCATTCCATCATCGATCCAATATCAGATTGACGCGATGATCCAATGTGCCCAAGTTAGACGTAGAAGGTTTTTATTTGGTAATGTTAAAGTTCTTTTCTAGGCCACTAGATGGAGGTATGAGCCTCGCTTTTCGCACAGTAAACAAAAATGCATTCCCCCTTTTCATGGAATCATCCCTCAGGAGTTTTTAGTACCTCATTTGTTTTTCCTAGTCTCATTAGAGCAATAAAAAAATCGGACTCTTAACCATTTATTATCCCCATATTTGAGAGAGAGTCATGGAGCCCAAGCGATAAACAAGTTCATACTTCCAATCAGAAACCCTTGCATTCAAGAGTTTCTAGAAACTGAAATATGTGAATCAGGCCAAGTTGGAGCAATTGCGTATATTCAGACTTTTAAATTCCATAACTCTGACAGTAATGAACCTATTTTGACGAAATTTGAAACATCAGTAAGTCATGTCAGAGCAAATTCTTTCAATATATGCTGGCAGTGCTTGAAGCATTTTTCTGGGACACACCTAATAGAGAAAATTGAATTTGTACCACCTGTAACGCATCTTTGCCTTAGTACACTCAGAACATTCCTCTGCCAAATACTTATTCTTCGATTTTTTTTTCAAACAAATGCCACAACATTACAAAAATATTGCTAATTTTCAAGAATGCACTTCTACTGCTATTAGAGGCAGTGTCTTGTTAGCTTTGCCAAGGATTATAGGTTTCCTCGGAATTGGCCCTTTTTCTGTCCCACCCGTAACGGTAGTGTCATAAATAGGCGAATTTAATATGGTGAGCTGATATTTTTCACCTGAAGACGTCATCATACCTACAGAAATTACACATAATTGGAATCATCATAGTTCTGATGTAATTTTAAAAAATTGATTTTTTTTCTTTTACCCGCAAATGTCAAGCATAATTGTCCCACCCATAACACATGTCTTGCATGCTCACCCTGTTAGGTACAGGACTACAACTGCCCATGCTGATGCGCATTGCTACGCCATGATAGGAAACAGCGTGATAAATTTGTACAAGGTCGTACATATGAGAGGCGACATTTCAAATCAAAATTGTCCCACCCGTAACGTTTTTCGTTAGCTCTTTAAAAACACAATTAATCAGTCATTAAATTTATTTTTGAAATTCATGCTGCTTGGCATTGTGGATGATAGTAAAAATAAAAAATGTTAACATCCTAAGTTAAATCGTTTCAGAGATATCATAAGACAAAGTCTTTGACAAAATGGCCAAAATTATGCATACTACGAAATTTGCAACTCTTTATCTAAATATTAAACAACCTTCGTTAAGGGATGAAAGGCAAGTTCTTAAAAAGAGCTTTCTGTTGATATGCAACATGTTGATGATAATATATTTAAAAATTAATCCAATTTTAAACATCTGCAATGTTTGTCCCACTTGCAACTTTCATTACGGCTGGGAAGAAAGTATCGTGGATGCAGAATGACTTGAAATCTTGAGTTTCATCCCTTGGGGTAGTTACTTGGGTACATACCAACAATATAACAACAATCGAAACAAGGCAGGAATGGCAGAACGAAAATGGCTTCATTATCCATATAATCTCCTAAGACCCTTGATACAAACGTGCAGTTTTATTCAAATGAATTTTCAGCATCTGCCAGCGGCATTATCATAGATACACAGTATATCATTATCACAAATCTAGTATCTGGTGCACATCAGAAAAGTGTGAAGTGACTTTTGTCGGAACTCAATACCTCAGTACGCACATTCCTGCCAAAATTTAGTTTTCCGTGTCTCCCCATTTGTCAGAAACAAATAAGTTCATTTGAAAACCCCCCCCCCCCCCAAAAAAAAAAGTGCCCCCAGGGTATGTACCCCCAAAGTCGGACTTTTTCTGAACTCCACATCTCAATATCTACATGTGTATCAAGTTTCAGATTCCTAATTTCTCTAGAACATGGCGAGAATTAGCGTCAGTCACTCACTCGGGATCGTATATACAGGGTGTAACAAGCGTCAGGAATCATTGGGAAATAACGTGAGGATCATTTCCAGCCTAGATGGTCTGAAACTTACAAGCTAATCTGAGTTGATTCTGAAAGTCTTGAGTTCTCTTAATCTCAAAGTCTGGTCCAAGTGGCCCAAAAATGATACTGGGCGACTTGGCATGGTGACCGAAAGTGGCCTAAATTGTCAAATTGACTGAATATGGGCCTGAACATCTGAGAGTGATATGATGCGAAAATTGAAACAATGACCAAATTCGACTCAGAATGGCACATACCGATCCATTGCGATCCATTTCGATCCACGGTGATCCTTTCAACGAATGGTGACCCATTTCGACCCATTCTGACCTTCCCTGAATCTCACTATTTAGTAGTAGCCAGGATGTATCAATAGAGATTCAAGGTGACCCATGATGACCCATGGAAATCAAAATTGACCTAACTTGGTCACTCTTTTTAAATTTTAGTAAACCTACATCGCTCTAAGAAAATGAGACCCAGTTGGATCGAATGGACAAGTTAGGTAAATTTGAGTCACCATAGGTCACCTGCAGTCACTCTAGATTAAAATTAGTCACTATCTCAAAATTACTCTCAAAATTAGTCACTATCTCAATTTTAGCAGTCTTCAGTCACCCTAGAATAATTAGGTCCAAGTTGGGTAGATCGAACAGTTTGGGTCGCTTTGGGTCACCATGGATCACCTTGGATCACTTTTGGTCAACTCTGCAACTATTACTAGTAATAGTGAAATTCACGGTAGGCAACCATTGGTCGAAATGGGTCACCATGGGTCGAATTGGCTCACCGAGGACTAAAATGGGTCAAAATGGGTCGCTATGTGCAACTGTGGGTCATGTGTGTCACTGCTTCTATTTTTTGCAAAAATATGTAGCACTCTCAGAAAATTAGGCCCATATTCAGTCAATTTGACAATTCAGGTCACTGGGTCACCGTGGGTAGCCCACTATCATTTTGGGCCACTTGGACCAGACTTTGAGATTAAGAGAACTCAGGAGCTTCAGAATCAACACAGATTGGCTTGTAGGCTTCAGACAATCTAGGCTGGAAATGATCCCCATGTTATTTCCCTATGATTCCTGACTTTTGTAACACCCTGCATATACAGTATTAGATTTGTGTCAGAAGTCTATAATGTTTTTTTAGTATCATCGTAATTTTTAGAAATTCAAATTTTAAATTTAAAAAGTAAAACTTACAAAATTTGTTTGTTATAAGGACACATGCATCAGTCATATTGCCCTGCTTGTTGTTTTCATTTATCTGACAAATTTTATTTTAAAGAATGTGTGTTCCTGTCAAGAAAAATAGCCTTAATAATGACCATTGATTCAAATCTGAATATGCATGAGGATTGAAAGTAGGTTTGATCAAAACATTTGTCCCATCCGTAACACTTCTAAGCCAGTACGTGAAAACCATAATGAGGTAAAATTCAGTTCTACTTATGTTTCATGTGTACATGTGACAGGAAACCTACTCCACAAGTAGCATTAAGCTGAGCAAATTCTATGTGTGTCAGGAGGACTTAAACTTCTTGTCACGGGTGGGACATTTTCGGTGCACTTGATTACTGCAAACAGCAATAAATATAATATGAAGGGTCCTGGAGCTCAACCGCGCTAGACTTAGATGCAGGAGAACATCAGAGACAAATACAGATTGACAGAAATGAAAGTTTTACTATAGTTTTACTATTGAAGAAAAGTTTTACTATAGAATTTTTCGTTTTTGTCTCCTTGGAATTGCTCCTTTTTGGCCTGATTCACTCATATGTGCGTTGCACCTCCGCATCTCTGAATGAATAGCTTTGGATAGATCTTGCATGCGACCGAAATTTCGTCCGTGCGACCAGGACCGCCCAGAGGGGAGGAGGGAGGGGGGGGGGGGCAATTGGGGCAATCTGCCCCTGGCCCCACATATCAAGGGGGGCCTCCAATAGGGCCTCAATGGGGCTCCCAAGGGGTCTCCAGTTTAGTTTTGCCCCGGGCCCCTGGAAACCTCTGGGTGGCCCTGCGTGCAACTGTTTAACAAGATAAGGAACCAGCTAGAAATCACATTGGGCTAGATCTGGGCTATGGCTTGCATAGCTCAGATCTAGCCTTCTTGTGACTTCTGGCTGTTTCCTTGTTGAACAGTTGCCTGGACGAAATTTCAGTCCCATACCAGATCTATCCAAAGCTGTTCATTCAGAGCCGCGGAGGAAACTCAAAGTATTGTAGTACCCAGATAACATGGTACATTGGGCCCACATTGGATAAAGATGGGAAACGTTGGCGGAACGTGAATGTTGGGGAAAGATGTTGGCCCCATGTGGGCCCAACGTGGGCATGTCCACACTTTGAAAAGAACAGCAGAACTCCTGGTGGAAAACTTACAAACCTTTAAGTTCTTCGCCAGGCCACTAGATGGAGGTACGTGGTCTCGCTTTTCCCACAGCACCCAGAAGTTCCCTATTCTCTTTCCCTGGAATCGCCCTTCGCAGGATTGTTTAGTACCTCGCCATATGTCTCGCCTAGTCTCATTATAGGAATCAATAAGCGCGGACATTTCACCATTTGTTATCCACTTATTCAAAACAGAATCATGGAGCTCAGGCCATGAACAAACTCATATTCCCGATGAGAACCCTTTGGAAAGACAGGAGGATTGTGTATGAAAAGGGGTTTCTAAGCTAGAGGGAATGTCTGTGACCGTAATTCTGCTTATTCCTCATCTCTGCCGCAGTAGAAGGGAATAACGGACTGATATTGCGGACACTTCATGATACTGTACGAGATGGTCTAATCTCTGACATGTACTGTAAATAGTACAGCCAGGGGACGATCCACGTCTGTACTGCCCTATGTCTTCTGCCTGTCTAGGGCATACATACATGTCCTCGGTAGGTTGTAGTACATAGTACAGGTACCGTACTATAGATGGAATACTTCCACTCATGGGGAATCTAAGAATATGGTACGAAATGATGATATAGAGCGAAAACCAGCTACTTGGGTAAGTGGGTTATACGTTGCTATCCAACTTACTACCAACGTTGGCTCCACGTTGACCCAACGGTCACTTTTACGTGGGGTCTACGTGAACAACCTACTTTGGGCCAACGTATCCTGACGTTGGAGGACAACGTTGGGCCAATGTGGGCCCCACGAAAAATGTTAAAACTTGGTATGTGCTGACGCCTTTCAGAAGTGACTTCACCCCTTGGGCCGGTGAGTGCAATCACGAGGGGAATACTCGAAGGACTGCAGTATTCACATTTCGGAAATACCGTGTATGCTGTAAATAAAATACTAGTTTCCAGAACTTTTTGTATGCCCCTCGTAAGACATGCAACATTTGAGTTTGACCTTCAACGTTGATGACATTATATTGACTCTAGCTGAACGTTCCCACAACGCTGCTATGTTCGCTGGGTTGTTTCTTTGACAAGGCTTGGTCAACCTACACCTCAATAACCTGGCGATGAAAGTCGGAAGGTTTGACTTTTTTCGCCCACAGGAAACGAATTTCGCATTTCATCATGCATACATAATTCGAGAATGGTAGCCATCTTGTACAAGTTGGCTGTCACGTGACTACTGCAACAGCCAAGTCGATCTCCTGGTGGAACATTCGTGAACTATGGCCCTATGTGCATATTATGCGAAAACGTATGAAATTGAGATCAATATGGCCATTTTAACCTTAGTTTCTGATGCACCCTCGTACAAGACACACTGGTGTTTCCTCAGCATGCATAGATACGAAGGTACGAACACAGCGTGCAAACATTTTAAGTGTGAGCTTGTTGTATGCATCACTAAACCCCACGCGTCGCACACAAGAAACGCTTTAGCGCGAAAAGTCATTCGTAGCCTCATGAAAGGGCCAAGGATTGCCACAGCATTAGTTAATTTCTAGACTGTAAGAACTTCCCATCGCAATATGCTTTTTGTGAAAGTGGTTATTTATGGCACCAAAACTACCGAATTCAGTTAAAGAGAAGAGCCACTAATTTCCCAAAGGGTCCCGTGTGACAACGCTGCATGGCAAGGCATGGCCTCTATGGGCATGGCTGGTACACTACAGGAAACGTAAGAGACCTGTTTTGTTTTGCTGCCTAGTGAGATCGGGCAATGCTCCTGTTTGTATTTCCGAAGGGACAAGCATTGTTCTCGTGGGGTTGCGAGAAAGCTTGAATTGCTTTCTATGGAGAGTTCGCCTACACGGTATCTATTCTTTCACTAGTCTTAGCCTACTTGCCTGTCTTCATAGCGCTTCTTGAGAGTTAGGCCCGAATGCTGAGAACTCCTTTGGTTAACTTTCTTTTAAGAATCCATGGACTCATGGGAGGGGAAGGGTAAGTGCTCTTTAGCTAGAACATCTTTGTCTCGCAAAAATGAGGCTTACTCATTCGGGCCTAAACCTCTAAGTGAAAGGAAAATAAGGGAACAAAAAAACTGATTGATTTGGAAATTACATAATTTCCAAATCAATAAGTTTTCAGTTCAAATCAATTGGTTCAGAAAAACTGAATTTGGGTGATGGTAGTGAAAATAAGCTCTCTGACTAGACTCTTGGGACTAGTGAGGTTTTGAGCACATTGAGACCTGGAAGGTCTTTTTTTTTTTTCAAAGCCGATTTAGAAAAAAGTTGACTTACGAGGTATTGACCATTGTTTGGTGATGGGCGGCTCTGCTGATGAGGTACATTACGTTAGGCATTGGATAGTGTCTATTGACTAGCCCTGAAGCATGACATTTTCTGTAAAGTTGAAGAATGTCAGGGGTTGCGCTAGGATTCTCGCCATGGCCTCCTGTCCATACATCCTGGGGATCCTGGGACCCCCGGGACACACAGGCAGAAGGCCCAAGACAGCTTGATTAAATATCATATTGCTCTGTTCTGTTAAGTCGGCAAATACACATGGATTGTTGTGGCCTCCTGTCCATACATCCTGGGGGTCCTGGGACCCCCGGGACACACAGGCAGAAGGCCCAAGACAGCTTGATTAAATATCATATTGCTCTGTTCTGTTAAGTCGGCAAATACACATGGATTGTTGAACTTTTCCTTTTATGGGAACCCTTCAAGATTCCCATGTGCTTCGCTTGGAAAGTAACCTCCTGAATTATCAGAGGACCCATCCATATTAGACATGAGGGTCCTGGGGACCCCTACGGCAAGAAACCTAGTGCAACCCCTGAATGTTCAAGGTTCAGAAAGGAACTTAACCCAATATTATGCCCTGTGTTGAGGATCAAACATTTTTTTATATTAAGTTAGGCCTACTGCTCTTTTAGATGGATATTTTTTTGGGAACATATTCACCTTCTGCCTAGTCACTTGCCGCTACATTGCATCTCTTTTTTTTTTTCATGTTTTTGGTCCATCATGCCATTTAACCCTTTAGGTAGTGAGTTTTTTATGCATGGCCATGCCTCTCAGACTGGGTTTTTTTGGGGTGCACTGAATGTTTAGGCAAAAAATTGGGTGTATAAGATGAAGTACCTTGGAGTATGAGTGGTTCAAAGTTGCATCCACCTTGGTAGTGCTTTAGGGTGTGGTATTCTTGGAAGCAAGCATTGACATGGAGAGCCTTATCACTTCAGAGTTGCAATGATTTATTGCGTCTACTATTTCATTCTTTCCAGCACATAACCAATCACTCCTTAATCCAGCCATGTTGCTCAATAACAGCTTTGGATCTCAGTTTTTCTAATACTTATCATTAGCCCTTTAGGTACTGACTTTTCTGGTCACTATGTGAATTAGTTTTTCGAAAAAGTGATATTGTGGGTATTCAGTTGCTAAAAATCTGTACAACATAAAAATTTAAATTGGTTGTTTATTCTAGATGTTAAAACAATGCTTATTAGTTGAAAAGTATGCTTTGGAAAATTCTAGAAACAATGCAGAACAACAGTCCAAAAACACAGCTTACCATAAACGCACACATGCATTCACAGTCCGAAGTACAGCCTACTATAAACATGTATATGTATTCATAGTACTTAGAGGGTTAAAGCTAGTCTGGGTAGGGACTGATATTACATAATCACACAACACATTCATTGCATAAATTTTCTTACAAGTAAAAAAGTATAGTTTTTGTTAGTTCTTTGGAATGCTATAACTTCTTATTAGCATGTGATCAGGAAGGATAAGCCTAACCTTGAGGTCATTCTTAAAAATCAAGTATGGTTTATATTGTCAATGATGGTAAATTGATGAGAAAGGAATGAGAATTTGGACCTAGTGGATGATTTTGGCCACGATGTTATATGCTATACAGTGTTTTGGCTGAGGAGATGCCTTTGCAGGCAAATGCTATGGTGGAATTTGGATTCCAGCACATAATGTACCTTTTCTCTGTTATTACTTGTGCAATGGCATGTTCAACGGTTAAGAGTAGTAAGTTTTTGAGGAGTAGCATTAAGTACAGGGTGATTCCTTAATTATGCCTCATGTTCAAAAATTAGTTAAAACTATATGGATTATCTTACTTTCTTGAAATTTTGCACAAGTATAGTGGAAGGATGGGAGTTCTTTTCAACTGACACACAATGTGTCAAAGTGTATTCTCCTTTGTGAAATTATGTGAAGGATCCAGGAAGAGCAATTTCTTTTCATGGCTTCCAGTATTTTGGTAGGAATGGAGTGGGACTTCACTTTCAGTCGCTGCTTTTAGAGTTTCCAATGCCCTGCTATTTTTTTTGGAGACTCTGCCCTTCAGGTATTATCCTCAATAAAAGGAATCAAAGGGATTGAGGTCACATGACAGAGGAAGTCATGCAAAAGCAGTCCTGGAGCTGGGGGATACCTGGGCATTCTTGTTGTTGGTGGTCTACATAGGGCCAGTGGTCTACACACAATACCCATAATCCTTCAAGGTAGAGAGGCACAATGAGCATGTCAACGTAACCCTCATGCAAACACTCAGCGAATATCTTTCAATAAGCTTAAGAAAGCATGAGTGTACTGGTTAATTGAGCGCCACCAACATTCTTTCAGATGTTGTGCATTTTCCTACGAATCTTCATTTTCATTACCAACAACGGGGATTCAACTGTCTGTGTATTGGCACCAGTTATAGAATTGACAAAGTTTGTTTGGTGGTTCACAATTTCTTGTCGATATCCATACTGGATCCATACTAGGAGCTGACCATGATTGACCTTCCTCTTTCCCAGGAGAAGAGCTTCGTTGACTTACACTCATTGACCATTCCTTCCCATTGGCTCTCTCAAGTCAAACATGTGAACGCACACATCTCGACACAAGTTAAACCTATCATTTGTGGTGGGGGTGCCACAACATTGAAGCAGTTACTTGTGGTATGTCCTGTGCCCAGTAGTATCACAGTTCCAAGATCCTCTGAAGGGAAAGGTGGCTATTGCAGCGTCCATTCACATCTGTGAATGTAAACAAGTCCTTCCCTCTGCTCATCGATTGGTGCACTTGACATCCACATCTCATGTGCCTCAATGTGTAGTACAGGTATTCTCTGATGGAACCATCAGCAAGCCTCTTCTTGCATATTGTGGATTTCACCTCATTTCCACACCTTAGGAAATTCTGCAAATCATCCACACTGCAGCAGCCCATGCTCACACAAGAATGCAACACAGCTTTCTTCCATGGCAATCACTGAGTAAAACTCAACAGCTTTCATGATGAAGATGGGATGAGAATATGTCATTTCATAAACTATGTTCTCATAATTTATAGGTTCGAGTCTTTCCCTCGATGGCTATCCCTGATGCTTAGAGGATTAAGAAATTATCCTTTTACCTTTTGTAGGTGGAATTAATCCTTTTATGGAATTGTCAGGAAGGCATGGTGTCAACAAGGATAAGGTTCATGTCGAGATAAGCCATGTCAAGATTAGGTGAATTCAAGTCAGGACTTCAAAATTTAAAAAATTGTATCAGAGAACCTTCACAGATCAACTTTTTTTATTTAAATTTTTTATTTTTATTTTAATATTTTTATTTTAAAAAATTTTTATTTTATATTTTATTTTTTTATTTTTTATTTTATTTTTTAAATGTTTTGGTGCATAGACCACCAATGACCAGAGAAACATCAATGTAGACCACCAACGACAAGAATGCCGGTACCTGTTGGACAGGACTCTTGGGTTGAAAATGCAGCATGTGCATCTCCCATGACTTCTAGTGTTCGTTTCTTTTTGGCAGGCCTGAAGTTGTCTTTCCTCAAGTCCAAAACTCTTCCATTCTCTTTAGCATTTTGACAAAACCCTAAACTTTCTTTCTGTCAGAAGCATCACTTGAAAGAAAATGTTTTCTAAAGTCTCTTTGCAGCATCACTGGTGAATTAACACTCTAGTACTGTATTACCATGAACATTTTCTCCTTCACATCTAGCAATGCAATGTTAGGAAAGCAGATGCAGCAAGGATTGTCAAAAACTCCCAGGTATAGAGATAAATTTTACTAGCTTTGAGAATGAAAACTTTTCTAACCTAATGCTTTAATTGAAAGAGGCTGAAAGTTGTGGTGGCTGCCGCTCCTAATGCACAAGGCCTATGACGCTATGCCATTCTAGGCCATAGGCCATATCCAGCTGAAAGTGCCAGGCCTACAAGGTTCTGCCATTCTAGGCCATAGGCTAGGCCCTAAAAATTGAAAGAGGCTAAAAGCAGTGTTGAAAGGTTGTCACTTATCTGCAGCCTAACACACAAGGCCTTCAAGGCCATTCCAGGCTGTAGGAACTATGGTTTGACTCAAACTGCTTCATGTAAACATTTTTAAATTTCTGCCCATTAGATGGCTAGCGTTGCTACTGTAGGCCACTAGTTGATTTTAAAATAATTTTTGAAAGCATGGCTTAATTAAAGAATCGCCATGTATTTAATTCAAGAAAGAAGTGTAAATTGTATGAACTCTGTTCTATATTGGTAAAATGTGAAGTTGCTTCATGTCATTAACTATCCTTCATTCAACTCTCAGTCCTGAATTATGTTCTAGGCATTGAAAATATAAGTCATATACTTTTTGGGCTTCAACAAGGCCAATTTAAAATAAAAGTGTTTTTAAAATAGTATTGTTAAGTAAAATAAATATTTATTTACTTATTTGAGAAAAATTGCCAGAAGAAATACAGCAGCTTCATATTACTGTGGACTATTGTCAACTTGACAACATGAGGTGAACTATTATAAACTGGAACTCAGAATCCTGCTATGGCCTTTAGGTTGTGCATTCCTGTATAACCCCATTCATTCTTTTTCCTGTCTCTTCTTGTAACTCCCAGCATGCACCTCTCCATGCTACGTTGAGTTGTCTGTTGTTTCTTTATCATTTTTGCTGTCTTTGTCCATGTCTCACATCCATATATGAGAACGGGAAATACACATTGGTCAAAGACATTTCTCTTGAAGCAGATGGGCAGGTTACCCTTGAAGATTGAGTTGAGGAATCCAAAAGTGCTCCATCCCATCTTCACTCTTCTGTTGATTGCTCCTGCAGTTCTGCTGTCTGAAGATATTTGCTGCCCTAGGTAGATGTAGTCGTTGAAGCTTGTTGTCATTAACTTCAATTTCTTTGAGTCTGACATGTTATTGAACATAACTTGAGATTTGTCTAGGTTCATCTTGAGGCCTGCATTTTTGCTGGCTTTTGCGAGTTCCTTCACTAAATTTTCTAGTTCTTTGGCTGTAGATTCGAAGATAATGTCATCAGCAAAGCACAGGTGGCTCAGGTAGGCTCTGTTAACCTTGATTCCTTTCTTTTCCCAGTCAAGAGTCTTGGAAACTTCTAGCATTGCCATAAAGAGTTTTGGGGCAATTGTATCACCCTGGTGAGGCTGAATAGGACTACTGAAGTAGATGCCAGCACAGGATGTTCCATGCTGAGTGATGATTTTAATACGCTTACGTGCTAAGATATTTAAAATTTTCAAATGTGAGTGATATTCAAAGCTGAGCAGTAAAGGTAATATGCAGCTTTTGAATAAACCTTCAGAATGTGTTACATCTATAACTTTTCTGTAACATCCAATGTTGTCGCTTATTTTCTTTTCCAAGCATTGCAGTCAGAAAGTGACATGCTAATTCCAGAGTTTTGTTTCATTTAAAGAATAAATATCATGCTAAATTGATGGGTAAGTATGAACTTACCAACATGAGGTGCAGCTTAACTCTGCAATGTTTGGTATTGCTTAAAGGCAGTAAGCCTAAACTTGTCATTCAGGCAAGTTGTTGCCCACTACTCTAACCAACTGGCAGTTCTTCGTGATTGCTATCATGCTTGCCATGAAAATTATTAAAAGGATGTTTAAAATATGAACCCCTCAAGCACTCACTTTTTAAAATACCCAGGCATTAGGCAAGCATACATTTTAATAACTATATTTTCTCAGTTTCACAGCTGGAATAGCTACTCTGCCCAGAATGTTGCTGCTGTGTATTACTGAATTCGCTTTACACATAAGTCCACAATTAGTACCAAAATCAGATAACATGTGGCAAAGCTATGACGGCAAAAACTAGAGTAGGTGGTAATGACCTGAGGGGTTCAGTCATGCACTATAAGTCAAGTTAGACTCAGATTGTAGAATGCTCATGTGAAAATAAGACTGTATGAAATGGCCATATACAGGGTGTCTGAAAAGTCACTCCCTATTTTTAAATTGTTATTGCTAAACCAAAAGAGATATTAAAACATTTCTTTAACTGAATTGAAGCTTATTTTTTACCATTTACTTTATAACAAAATTGAAAAGCTTTATTACAAAGTTAAAATTCAACGTAGTCTCCAGCATTGTCCACACATATCTGTAACCTTACCGGTACATTTTCAACAGATTTTCTCAAGAAGTCACCTGGTGCGTTGCCTAGAATATCACGAATTTTGTTTTCAAGTTCATCAATGGTCCTTGGTTTTGATTTTAAAACTAATTCTTTTGCCCAACCCCACAGAAAGAAGTCGCACGGCGTTAAATTTGGACTTCGAGCAGGCCATTCCGTTGGCCCTCGACAACCTATTAAATAAAGTCGCTCGTTATTCTATGCTTAATTTTTCAGCCATTATTCACTTATAATAGAAATGGTAATGATTAAGCTTAAAACAGTGAAAGAACGGTTACAATATCTCCTTCAGTTTATCAGCAATAGCAATTTAAAAAGAGGGAGTGACTTTTCAGACACCCTGTATTTAGCCTGTCAGATATACCTGTATATGATGTAGGGGTTGCCCTAAGTCTCTTGCCCTGGCCTCCCACCTGTGCATCCCAGGGGTCCTGGGATGCACAGGCAGAAGGCCTAAGACTGCTGGATTGAGTATCATACTGCTTGCTTATGTTAAGTTGGCAAATAAACTTGGATTGCTGGACTTTTACTTTTGGGGAACCCTTCAAGATTCCCTCGTGCTTCACTTGGAAAGTAACCCCCTTAATTATCAGGGGACCCTACCATATCAGACCTGAGGGTCCCAGGGACCCCTAGGGAAAGAAACCTAGCTCAACCCCTGTGGGGCATATATGAACATATAGTAAAATTCAGACATGCACATACAGGATGATACAAAAACATTGAAGCTGTGTAAGTTCTGTGTTTCTTTTATGTGCCAAAAGCAGTGAGGTTTTGCAGACATTTTATTCAAAGCCTTGCAATTCAAATGCAACTTGTTACAACTTAGGCTTTGAACTTATTGTCATTAAAATGGTCTCTTTGAGATGCAACACAGGAAGCTAAACATTTTTTCATGTTCTTGAAGGTCACTTAGCACAGTGCTGGGGTTAATCTGGCTACTTCTACATTGTTTTCCTGAAGTTCCTGTTATGTGTGAAGCCTATTTTGGTACACCTTTTATTTCAAATAGCCCCATAGAAAATAATTTGTTGCATTTAGATCTGGAGATCTAGTGGGCCACAAAATGTCACCAAATGAGAGATGATGTGACTATTGAACATTGAAAAACATTCACTTTACAGTGCTGTATCTCATGGAGCATGGAGACCATTTGAAGGACACTTCAAAACCTAGGCTGTGAAATGTTGCACTTGAAATGTAAATCCTTGAAAAGTATTTCTGCAAAACCACACTGTTTTTGGAACATAAATAAATAAATGACAAAGCATTTACATTGCTTCAATTTATCTGTGCCACTCTGTGTATGAAACATTGATGGAGTTTGACACAAGTCACATGAAAACATGTAAGAAAGAAAGTGATGTATATTGCACCATACATATTTATATCAGTTCATACAATGGCACCTCATATGCCATGTCATATCTGGTTCATATATGTAGTAAAACATGTCTATATATGGTGAGAATACCTGAAACACACCCATATTTTAAAAGGGCCTATAATCCATCAAGTGCTCTCTATCTTGTCCATAAAGGTATGACTCATAATATTACCTAATAATTTGAATAAATTAGTCTATTGCAATACCTATCAGTATGCTCATCAGTTCAATCTCAAGGGGACCTGCAGGGGTCCATGGACCTCAGTGTGAAAACTGCCACTTTTCTATATCATCACAATAACATGTTTTTTTGCAGTTGCAAAGTTATTGCTAGGTGAAACCATTAATTAAGCAAAGGTTTCACTTTCTGCTGTTTTATATGGGCACTTAACATCATACAGTAAAGTTGTCTCAGTCAACATCATGTTATTTCTTTTTCAGGGGCTTTCAGGGATTGTGCATTGACATCATGACCTCATAGTGGGAATGGCATCTTCTCAAAGTAAACATAGGAAGGATTCATTCTATGAGGTGAAGTATCCTTCAGAAAAGGAAGATAAGTGTGAACCTCCTGTGCAACTGGATGAATGTATGATCTGTCCTATTTGCAAGTCCTCAGAGAAGGTCTTGAAGGTTGTATATGGCAAACCAACTCCTGAACTTGTACAACTTTCTAAAGCACACAAAGTACTCCTTGGTGGATGTACACCTATGCGAAAAAATCGCCATTGTGAAAAGTGTGGTGTGAGCTTCTATGTGGATGATTGTTAGCAAGGCAATCAAGACTTTGTAGAATGTCTTCACATTTCAGAAGCTCAAGGACAAGAAAGTTCCGGGAACCCCCTGGAACAGTGCAGGTATCAAGAGATGTGCAACGGGCAATCAAGTTGGCTGCAAAGTCTCATGAAGCAATTTCAAGACCTAAAGCTACCAGGGGAGAGACTGTTATGAAATCACAGACTTTTGATGTCAGTGTCTCCAGTGATCTCCAGAAAAAGAAAGAAGATCATCATGAACAGTATTTGAAAGGTTTAATGAAAGAGGTTGAAAGTTTGGAAGAGACAAGTTGGCTCTATCAGCCTCTTGAAAGTCTTATCGGAGAGGGTGCAACATTCTAGGGCAAGAAACTGTTCATTCTCCTGAAAAACACTTTCTCCCTGTACTTTTGTAATTTGAGCATTTATAATGCTGCACATCTTCAGTTGGACTTTCAAAGCATTGTTCTCAAGTGGCTCTCCTCAAGAGGAAGGTGGTGAGGATGTAGAACATGCTTTCAGTTCTCTTTCTTCTTTATCCAAGACCCATATGTTTGAAGGAACAATAACGGAGATGATAGGTGAACATGGAGTCATAAATGGTGATATATTTTTTGATTCCAGTATCATTGAGGGAAGTCCCAGACAATCTGTGAGTGTTGGTGACCAGGTCAGAGTGATAGCCACTAATGTTGTTGAATATGGAATTGAAAAATGGAATCCTCAAAGTGTGAAATTACTTGAAGGGGACTGGTCAGAGTTGAACTATGACTTAGGAATCCTTTCACAGGGTGTTGTTGAAGATGGATATTTAGAACCCCTTGGAAAAGCCAGCACCATTGTTGCAAAAGTTGTGAGATCTACATTCGGAGCTGTTACATTGGACATCAACATTACCTTTGATCCCCAGAGCATTCCTTCTCCATTCCACGTTGAAGTTGGTGAGTAAGCCCTTCTTTTATTTACTCAGTATTACTTAAAATTAAATTGGAAAGCCCATAGCTGAAATGTTTTACTGCAATTGTAATGTGTCTACTTTTCTTGGAACTAGTGCCAGTTATGAGGGAATTATTGGTGACCTCCCTACTATCAAAAGTTTTTCATTTCTGTTTGTTGCCTTTTTCACTTGGGACCATTTGTGCATTTCTATATATTGTTAGCAAGAAGTATTGCTTCTTAACTAGAGATGCAACGATATTGAATTTTGGCCGATATCCGATATACCGATAATTCCGATATTGGAAAAGAACCGATACCGATATCTATATATACATTTATATTTCCACATTCAGGGTGGATTTTGAACAGTGAACTATCTGATAACGCTGCTAAACACATATTTCCAGGAAATATGTGTTTTCCCTAGAATAAAGC